AAAACCTTGCAGACTTCGGGGAAAGCGCTATGACAGAAAGAGCAACTAATGACTTACCTAAGGAGCACAATATGTCGATTAGTCTGAATGGACAGCCGCCAAAATTTGACTTCATATGACGCGTGCGCGGGAACGGCCAGAACTTTCCTTACAACCTAATAGTAGCCGTAAATCGTATAGTACAAATCTACACAGGCAAAATCGGTTGCCATTGACGGTCGCTCTGTCGAGAGCCATATTCCCAATCACACCAACTTTCTTATAGTAGGAACACAGTACGATTCAAAGGAACAAAGTTGAAACTGACCGGTCAATACACACAACAGACCGATGCAGTCAAATCGATGCATCGGCCAACATCCCCACAGTGTAAATCCAAGGTACGTGGGATCCCACCACCGAGATGATGAGATCAGTCTTAAAATGTGCCGAGCAACGCACTGTGTGGCAACAGTGGACCCAAATTTCAATGTAGCAACCAATAATTGAGACCGCTTCGTCTTTATCGCAATTACAGATGCATGGGAAACTGAGGAAACTTCCGAGGATTGAAAGCGCAGGAAACACATTTGAAGAATAAGCGTACATTTTAATCGAAGGATTGAAGGAAAAAATGAGATCTAAGGTCTCAGAAGGGAAACCAAGCCTCCCTCTTGAAGCCCCATTACGGTTGAGTCGCTGCATACACACAACAGTTGCCCATATCAATCGCTATGGGTCGCCAATCGCCAGTGCGGCGTGAACCCACTACCCCGGCGATAGAATCGCAACGCATCCTCTAAATTCTACTACACGTGAACGCTCTATATTGAAGTGAGTGTTCTCCTTCTAAATTCTATTATCTTCTACCTGCCGTTGGTGTACCCATCTTGCCACCGGTACATCTCACGAATTCAAAAGTTCTCGCTCTAAGAAAGCAACTTTCGCATCTCGCCACCGGTAACCGTTCCAATTTTGAACGCGTAAACTTCAAGGAAGCAATTTTCGTGCAAGATACGGCCCGAGTGGGCAGAATGACCACTAGGCATGGACTTTTAGTTATTATTATATATTTTTTCTTGACAGCATTGACCGTCATGCAATTGTATGAGATGTTGATGAGAGAATCAAAGTATCCACTGCAGTG